TTTGTTGTATGGAAATTCTCATTTTATGGCTTCTGACACTGACCCAATAAGCTATGAAAATCATTAAATTCTTATTTGTATATAAAAATAAGTATATTTGAATCGTAAAGTTAAATGCCAGACTAAACAGAAAATAAAGACTATATAACCTAATGTACTGTCCATGTGTTTACTTTTTGGCTGCTGTCCTGGAAGAAAAAATAAAAAGTTCCAGCCTCTAGATAAAAAGCCTATTTTATACAATGTCCTTTCTGTAGTTTCCAGATAGCACACTAGCCAATAAATATATTAAAGCGTGATTCAATAAGAGCCCTCACCCATCTAATTTTTCATTGTATGTCAGGCAAAAAAAAAAAAAAATGAATGCACTGCTTCTCTACAATACGTGCACATTTCCCATATTGTAGCTCTTTTCAAAGTGCTGCAGTTATTAAAAAATACCTGTAGATCCTGCTAGAATTCCAGCTCTGCCTCTGTTGCACTGAAATCCCAGGCAGCATTGTCATCCCTTCCCAAATTGCTCCCTGCTGAACTAAGCAACATTTATCCTAACAGCTAGTATGTAGCTCAGTACATGATCACTGAAGTATGAAAATTAACTGTTTAGCAGCCAGTAGTGCCAGTGCTCTCACTGTTTATGCATGTGTACATTCATCCTTTCCCCAACAAAACAATGCTACTGCCTTGACTCCCAAAAGCCTGCCTACATTCTTTGCTTAAGGTAAAATTAAAGGACTCTTGGGAGATTAGCTCTGGGGTGTTTCTATGTCAGTAGGTACTTCCTCCTCCCAGGAGATGATTCTATAAGAATTTTTAGACACTGGTGATGATGTCACAAAAAGTAATACAAGTTGTTTGGTTGAAAGCAATTATAGTCCTAAGAATTAATCGTGTCATTACTTACGCTAAAAAACTCAAACATACAAGTAAATCTGACCTGCCACCACCTTGCTTTTGCTATAAAATGGGTGCTGATAATATATCTCAGTGTTGCTAGTTTTAATACAGAAATTAAAGGAAAACAATGTAGCTATATTTTATTTATTTATTTCAGGTACTTATATAGTGCTGCCAATTTATGTAGCGGTTTACATATATATTGCACATTCACATCAGTCCCTAATCCTCGAGGGGCGTACAATCTAAGGTCCCTAACTTACATTCATACATACACATACTAGAGCCAATTTAGACATGATCCAATTAACCTATCACCATGTCTATAGAGTGTGGGAGGAAACCGTAGTACCTAGAGGAAACCCATGCAGGCACAGGGAGAACATGCAAACTCCAGGCAGGTGGTGCCGTGGCTGGGATTAGAATCAAAGACCCTAGTACTGCCAGGTGGAAGTGCTAACCATTTAGCCACTGTGCTGCTCTATATGAATTAATTATAATGCTGTCTTCATTTTCTAGGGAAATTGAATATAGATAGAATCTTACTGAATTATATGAGCTGTAATAGCACAATACACTGTACATATACGTGTAAAAACATAGTTTCCCAGGAATGTTCTCCATACTTCCGCCTTTGACACAGCACACATTGGGACAAAAATTTGGCAAATTGGGCAAAAATTGTGTATATTCACTTTCATTTTCCAATTATGTAATAGGCAAATTCATGTTCACTTTAAATACCCAATAATGTTTTCAATTGGACATTAGTGCAAACCCCAGTTATTTTGCTAATTATAGATGTTTGTCTAATTCTTGCAGGAAAGCCAAGGAAACTGACCCAGTAGTAGTAATGATGTGCTTTTACTAAGCAAGAATGCCATGAAAACTAATTACAGTTACAGGAAAATAATACAGGATATATAGACTGATATAAATATGCACACAATCTCAACACGAGCTATCTATCCTTTCCTAGTGAATGAACTTTGGCAATGGTCTGCATGCTATAGGGATGTACTAAAAAGTCACTTACTGTAACTTTTATTAAAGTTGGTCATCCAGTTACGGAGCAAACAGGACCAGGGGCTTATTTACTACAAGGCAAGCAAGGCATTTGCCTAGGGCGGCATTTTTTCAGGGGGGCAGCAGCATTTTTCAGGGGGGCAGCACCGCCCCGAAAGAAGGGATGGAAGAAAGGACACACGTAGCATGGGGACCAGGTGAGATCTGAGAAAAGCTGCAGGCTGCTTGATGGTGTATGCAGAGCCCGACTCTTGTTCCCGGGGATGTCCGGAGTTGTGAAGGTGAGTGTCTTCTCTCTCGCCAGGTTGGGGGGGTGGGAGTTGCCAGTGTGTATGGGGGGTGGTGGTAGCGGAAGGCTCTCTCGAGTGGGGAGGGGGCTGGGGTGGGGTGTTGTTGGTCAATGTCAGGCTCTTATCAGAGGGGAGGGGGGTGTTTTTTGTCAGTGTCAGGGTCTCTCCGTGGGGAAGGGGGGGGCAGATCTTTGTGTTGCCTAGGGCAGCACAAAACCTAAATACACCACAGAACAGGACTCCAGGCATTTTAAACAATAGCAGGAAAACACATCCATGGCCTTGGCAGTATTGTTTCTCTCTAGTGTAGTTTCTAGTGTTGCGCACTAGGTAGAGTCCCATGGAGCTCCCCCTTCCAGTTTGCGCTGCTGTTAGCTGTTTTTGACAATACGCTAACAAGCTCCAGTGTTTGACAATAGCTCCTCTACAACAGGCGAATAGCTAAAAAATGTGTACTTTTTTGGCCAATAGTTTAAATTGCCCACATACTGTATACCACAATAAAATCGATTTTCTCATCATATGGGAGGACAGGCAAAATAGCCTTGTGCAAACATTGTTTAAGTAACAATAGGACTTGTTTTAGGTTTTCCTACAGGCAAACTGTTTTGTTAAAGAAAACTGAACTTGAAAATGCACAAAAGTGCATGTCTGGAAAGATCACAACTCTGGCTACATACAGTATATACATTATTTGTATATATATATATATATATATATATATATATACACTGTATATTGACAAAATGCACATGCGCAGATGCTTTTCATCTGACTTGATAGTTGAAGGGAATATTCACAATTTTTGAGTAAATATTCTTAACTTCTTCTCTTTGGTAAAGCAGTACATTCACTTGTGTATGTAAATTTCAGCTGGACCATGTGAACAGCAGGCTTTTTTTTTTTTTTACAGGGCACTAAGTAAAGACAAGTAAACATTTAAAAAGGAGTCTAGAGATTCACTTACTGGAAAATTCAAATATTTCATAATGCGATACTTAGTTTTTGCCCAAAATAAAATGTTTCTACTTTTTAGCCCTTACTATAATAATAATGCTACTATGTGCAAATCACTATAGGCCCCTCTTACCATCACTCATCCAAAACATAGGTCCATAGCTACCTCTCCTACTCTCTGTCCTCAAAGCATATTATTTGCAACATACGGGTACACTTTAAGCACATACTCATTGCTCATCTTCACAGTTTCTACCAACAATTAGGTTTCAATTTCTGGGCATCACATGATTGAAAGATGAATGCTGACTGATTACCTTGGGGAGGCATACAATTGAATAGGGCTCATAGAAATAATATCAGTCTTTTGTTTTATGTGCCCATGGCAAACTTCCAGACCTTTCACAAGTGCTTGTAAGCTTGTTTGGGCAAAATAGATAAAGCTCTAATGGCTTTATCTTTAGGTCATGCAGCTGGATCCCCTGGTGTATGGCTTTCAATACAGCCACTGTTTTACCTTATGAAAGCAAAAACTTTTCCATTGAGAAAGTAATATCCACTTTTTTTTTTCTTTGCAAGACTGAATCTAAATTTGATTACATTATTCAGAAGTAATCCACTTTAGCACCAACAGAAGTTATCAACAGCTATTTAAATGCATCAAGCATATTCAGCTATCTTTAGGAGCCTGTGATACTTCAGATGTATCCAAAATAGCTAGGCTAATTATTTTTTGCTAATATACTGTTCATAAAAAAAAAAAATAACTTTAAAAAGAAGAGAGGAAAATGAACACAAAAAGCAAGCACAGAAAAAAATTTCATATCCGATTCCACACTCAAAATTCCATCTCCAGCATCAACAATTCTCAATGCAGAATCCATAAATATTTATCAAGCATAAATATTTATAGACAAGGAGGTGTTTACATTTGGTGTAAAAGATTATACTAATTATGTTATTAATGTTTTTTTTTTTCAGAAGCCAACACAGTTCAGGATATTTGCATTGTGCTTGCCAAAGCGTTGCTGTGTTCTGATTGGTTATGTGATTTAATGGAGTTAGAAATAGGCCAAGGGTAATTGGGCATGATCAGCTGATCTGTAGGCATAGCACTGACATTTTCAGCCTATGATGATTGTAGTTAGACCCTTTTACATAGAAGATATTTACATGCTAACAACCAGCTGAAAAAATAAACATTTTTCTACACTTACATGCAATACTATAAATCAGTCATGGGATCAGGATCTCCATGCAGTTTGATTTATAGTTGAATAAATAAGCAACTCCTCATATATTAAACATTTTGGCTTTCCTTTTATTTATGAATACATCTGGGGACTTACATACGGAATGCTGGTTATTGGTCATATTTCTTTTCTAGGAAGTGCATTTTCTATTCATCATATTTTTGGTGTTTAGGAAATGAAATAAACCTGAGTAGCACTACTCAATCACTTAATACTTTTGGAGCAGTATATAATAGGTGACCCAGTACATTTATGCACACTTGCAGTCACTTGCCTATATGATTAGTCTACACTATAAATAATTCCCAGAATGACCGGGGCATAGCACTATGATGGTGAATCACACAGCCATTTGCACTTGAGTGACATGTACTAACGTGCACTCATCTGGGTCGCAGACCAGTTGACTTAGTCTTTACAGAGTAGTAGAAGTAATAGCACATGTGTGTGTTGTGCTGTTGTTGGAAAATGAGTGACAGGAATCTGGAGCAGCGAATTACCATCCAATTTTGCATGTAAATTGATAAGTGTAAATGAAACTTTAGCTCTGCTACAGCAGGCTTATGGTGAACATTCCATGAAGAGATCAAGTGTTTTTAAATGGCATAGGCAGTTTAAGGAGGAGTGGGAAGATGTCCACAATAATGTACGAAATAGGCAGCAAAAAACGCAAAGGATGGATGCAAATGTGGACAGATGGCAAACCCTCGTACACTCAGATCAAATATTGAGTGTGCGAATGATGGCAGAAGAATTGAACATGAACAGGGAAACAGTGCAGCAGATTCTACTGGAGGATTTGAGAATGAGAAAGTTTTCCACAAAAATGGTGCCTCCAGTTTTGACAGAAGATCAGAAAGAACATCTTCAAATTTCATCCTGTCTTTTGAAGAATGCAGTGGCGTTTGACTTTTTTTTTTTTTTTTACAGTCCATTCTAGGAATTAAATTGTCACACCTCTTATATGACTGTGTTCTTCTGTAATTAAGCACACTCAACTTTTTGCATGGATAAGAATACAAATAGCAGGGTGCTGAGGTCACAATCAGATAAAATTCACTTTACTAACCACTTGCTAACCGCGCTATAGCCAAATGACAGCTACAGCATGGTTATCCAGTTCTGGGAGGGCATCATATGACGTCCTCCCAGAACGTGCCCTCCTGCATGACCCCAACAGCGCGCACCCAGCAATCTTGGTGATCCAATGATACAGCAGATCACGGAGTAAATACAGTTTCCGGTTATCGGCAGCACTTTCCTCGCACATGCCTCGTCACAACATGAGGAAAGTACTGCCGATAACTGGCAGCTGTCACAGAGCAGATCGGCACTGATCATCAGGGCACTGATGATCAGTGCCCTCCAGTGCCACCCACCAGTGCCCATCCGTTCCTCCCACCAGTGCCCAGCTGTGCCACCCATAAGTGCCCAGCTGTGCCCCCCAGCAGTGCCACCCATCAGTGCTGCCCAGCAGTTGCATCCCATCAGTGCACATCAGTGCCGCCCATCAATGCCCAGCAGTGCCGCCAGTCAGTGCCCAGCAGTGCCATCAGTCAGTGCCATAAGTCAGTTCCGTCAGTTAGTGCCGTCAGTCAGTGCCGACAGTCAGTGCTACCCATCAGTGTCGCCCATCAGTGCCGCCTATCAATGACCATCATTTCTGCATATCAGTGCAGAATCAGTGCCTCCTCATCAATGCCCACCAGTGATGCCTCATCAGTGCCACCTCATCAGTGCAGCCTATCGGTCCCCATCAGTGCTGCCTATCCGTGCCACCTCATCAGTGCCCATCAATGCTGCCAATCAGTGCTGCCTATCAGTGCAGTCTCATCAATGCACATCAGTGAAGAAGAAAAATTACCTGTTTGCAAATGTTATATTAGAAACAAAGAAAAACTTTTGTTTACAAATGTTTTGATTTTTTCTGTTTATAGCACAAAAAATTAAACACCCAGTAGTGAATAAATACCACAAAAAAGAAAGCTCTATTTGTGAGAAAAAAAGTATAAAAATGTAATATGGGTATAGTGTTGCATGACCGTGCAATTGTTATTTAAACTGTTACAGCGCTGAAAGCTGAAAATTGGCCTGGGCAGGAAGTGCCTGGTAGGGAAGTGGTTAAAATACGCAGCACACTTACATTGACATTATCATGAAGCAGCATGGATGAGGAACATCTGAGACCAAGCACCTGTGATCAGTGTGAGGCTGTAGGCATCACTGAGCAAACAGAGACCAGGAATGACAGGCAGCCAGCTCAAGGTATGGATAGTAGCAGTGGCATTGTCAACCGCACATGAAGATGTCAGCTGTCAAAATGTCTAGTTGGTGTCAGGAGAAGGGGCATGCATGACGCGTTTCCAAGGATTTCGCCTTCCTTTTCAAATGTATCATCCCCTAGGAGCACCCTATGTACTGTGTACTTGTACCCTTTTGGGATTTGGCTTTTGTATGGATAATCCGAGAGACTTTGTAATCAACAGGAAAGTGCCCATTTTTTCAACTAGTCAGTACTGTAATGTGAAATATTGGGAAGGCGTTGGTACCAAGCAAGCATGTAGCCCATTCATATAGTGTAGTGGAGGTAGGGTTGGCAAATTACATTACACATAGTCAGGGGCGGACTGACAACTCATGGGACCCCGGGCAATAGGGGATCATGGGGCCCCTGTGTCCTTGCCCAAACTCAAAAAAGCCTATGAAAAAGGTACCAGGGGCATCTCATGGGGCCCCCTACTGACCCCGGACCCTCGGGCAGTGCCCGTGTTTCCAAATGGTCAGTCCGTCCCTGCACATAGGATTATACAGTTCCGTAGATTTATGTTAATATTACTATGAATGCACCCAATTAGGGTTCAGCTTGCTTAGTGCCCTGTTATCCCTTTTTGCATTTCAGATCTACTCATTTTACCATAATGTAATTCCTTTTTTAAACCACTGCAGGCAGAATCCAGAGTCACGGGAAGAGAACCCTTTGAATATACCATATACCTGGTAATTTTCTATTTCTATTTTTTCTTACTGTTTCAACAAACAAATTTAAACTTCCAAAGTTGGTATAAATCTGATTGGTGGCCATGAGAAACTTATGCACTGGCATTAAAGTGGATTTCCAACTGAAAAAAAAAGTCAGCAGCGACAAAAAATACAAACACTTACCTGTCCCTCGGTCCAGCGGTGTCCTCACCACTGCTGGTTTCCCCTTGTAGTTTAACATTTTTTCATGAACAAAGTGACTATAAATAGAGAAGACCAGGTCATTTTCTTTTTCAGTTTTATACATATTCAGATAACTGTCTTAATATGTGTGTACAGTATATGCAGTATGTGTGTAAAACTATTTTGAAAATATACTGACATATTTTTCCTTATTTAAGCCAATTTGTGCAAAATTGTTAGGCTGCATTCACACTTGAACTGTGAGCGTCTTTGCTCATTTTGCAGACTTTTTTTTCTCTTGAGCATTTGTACAGGGCATTTTGCACATTTTGAGGGCATCTGGGGTTTGTGATTTTTTTTTAATTACTACAGAGGTGCTGAGAGGAGGAGTTTCAGGAGGTGGAGTCAGTACGGGAATCACCATGGGATATGTAGTACTTAGAAATTGAAAGCAAACGGCAGAGGAGAAGCTGTAAAGTAAGCAGGGAGCACAGGAAGTTGTGGAAAGAGAAGACCAGCAGACAGACAGACTTCACAACATGAAAGCAGATTTTTCAAGCTTATAGTGGATTGCCAAATAAAACTATGGTCTGTTTTGCTATTACAATGCTGATGTTATAGAATTATGCTGTATGCTGTGACCACAGATTTCCTTTGTGAAGTTTCACCTCACTTCTTGCTGAGGCTGAAATCTGGGCTGTACTCAGCTTGAGCTCTAAGCTCTACCTAAGTGTGTCCACAATAAATATCAAAAGTGGCAGAACTAATACATTACAAAGTATTAAAGATCCCCCGGGTGCCTCATCCCAAAAGTAAATCCAAACAGCATAAAAGCAACAAAAGGAGGGACTTTACTTATGCCACTTGGGAACACCTACATAAGCATGAAACTCCAAGTTCTATTAAAATTCAATTTTTACTCTAGAGTACAGACTTAAGCATCCAAAAAAATGTAAAAAGCATTCACAATACAATCATTTCATACATTAATATGCTTGAACTGGCATTGCAGTAGACAACAATTATAGTGTTTGTGAGCTAAGCATATGGATATATTTGCTTCATCAGGACCTTGAACACCTCACATAACTTGACCAAATTTGGTGCAAAGGCCTAGTACATTATGAAATGTTTATTGAAATCAAATAATGCCAAAAACATACTCTCTGAGGGCTTGCTTGCCCCTCGAAATGCATCTACTGTATATTGTACGTCTAATTGATGCCTAGGTTACTGTGATACATCTTTAAATCTCAACCTTTTTTGTCACTTGTGCTTTGTTCTATACAATGCTTTTGGTCTTTGGTCTTTTTTGTGAGTATGTTTTTGGCATTATATGGTTTTATTAAACCTTTCATTGGGTAATGCATCGTGTCCTCTTGTTTTAATTTTTTTGTTTAGTAGAAAGATTTCCTCAGTCTGAAGAGGGCTGCGTTGGTGAAGCATTTCTGTTTAGGATGAGAACCATGATGTTTCTCCTTCACTGAAGCATTACTCAGCCTCAGCATTACCTTCGCGCTATGGTGTCAACATCTTGAATTCATCTGTTAGCAAGAAATGGAAGATGACTAATCACAGTTTAATATATGAGAATGGCTGTTGCATCTATGTCTATATAAATAGCATGCTAACAAAAATTTTACATACGTGCCAATGCTTATAGTCCTTGCTAACGGGAATCTTCAGACTCAGGTTTGTGAGTTTGTATTGAATCCCATAGGTGGTCACTGTTTAATAAAAAGGTGTTTTCTACATTTTCCTGGGAGACTTATCCAATATACTTTTAAATGTGTAAAAATAAAGTTCTGTATAATCCAGCTTATGATGCTATATCCTCACTGCAATAGTCCATGTGTGTTTATTATATTCTTACTGCATGTAAGATTTCTTCTGAGTTTATTTTGTGAGTCTATCAGTAGAAGGCATATATCATTCAATATGTTATATCCAACCAAGCTGAAATTAAAGTGATTCCAAAAGAAATATTTTTTTAAATAACAAACATGTTATACTTACCTTCTCTGTGCAATGGTTTTGCACAGAGCTGCTTCGATCCTCTTCTTTTAGGGTCTCCCGCCATTGCTCCTTGCTCCTCCCCTCGTTGAGTACCCCAATAGCAAGCCTTTGCTATTGAGAGAACTCAATCAGGCTCCCTCCCAAGCTGTGCTCTGTGTGTCCATTCACATACAGAGCATGGCTTTGCCATGCCCCCTCTCTCTCCCCGTTGGCTCACTGGCTGTGATCGACAGCAGCAGGAGCCAATGGCTCCCACTGCTGTGTGTCAATGAGGAAAGAGATATCCAGAAGAGGCGCTGCTCTCATACACATCGCTGAATTGGGATAAGGGGGGCTAGAATGCTTTAAGGCAAAAAAAACCTTGAGCCTTTAAGACCAATTTAAGTTGCCCAAGTGACACAAATAGCTTTACAAGACGTATTCCTGATTTCATAATTTATAGAATACTATACTGCTGGATAACAGAAAGAGAAGCTCATAACAGTGACATATAAGTTTACACCCAGCTATTTTCAAAAGATTTGCTAGGACTACAATAAAAAAAAAAACAGAAAAATGTATTTCTGTCCCTTGGCAGAGATAGAACTGCATTCCAGCAAAACATAATTATCTTTGCTTTGTTATGAAATGTATACATGAATAAAACTTGGCTCAGCAGCTCTGAGTGTCATGCTAGAATGCCTACAGTCCCAGCACATGCCAGACACCTCTTCATTCAGTCCCTCCTCCTCCATTAGTTTAATACATGACATAGAAAAGATT